ATATGATCCAAGGTCATTTGTCTCGAGTCCATTTGGGAAAGAACGTGAGTTCTCAACCTTCTGAGCATTTGCCAGTAATAGTTGAAGCTGCTCAATACACATCCTGCAAAGAGCACTCGAGGTAGCAGCTCTAGGCCACCTAAATTTCTCCTGTAACTCAAAAGATGTCACTTCGGTGCCAAGTGATGCAGAGAACAAACCCTGAACGGCTAAAAACTTCAAAACTTCCTTTCGCACTCGGAACTTTGCTTCAGGATCCAGGTTCAAATATTTCAAAATACTGGGGAGGGATTCTATGACCCAAATTTTCACAAAATCAGAATTTGCCAATGTCCCCACTGAATCCTTCTCTCCAATTGAACCTATCTCTGAATTATCATCTGTAGTTTGGCTCTGATCTGAAGGTTCCTCTGATGTAGGACCTTCATCCACAAACATATTCACTAAGTTTTGAATGAAGAGTGTGCAACCTGATTCCGTTTTGAACTCTTGCATCAAATCCTTAACTGTTTTAGTCCTTGTGATGGAGTCAAATTTGCCATTACTGTGTTTTTGTAAAGCTACAATTACAGCAACTCTTCGGACATCATCATTCCCAACCCAATCCAATAATTTTTTAAGAAAATCCTTTGCAACATTATACAGCCATGCATCCTTTGAAGGAAGTATGTCTATCAGGCACTGGACAAATTTGTAAGACAGAACAATTGAAACAAAAGATGCAGGCAACCTTGGGAAAAGAAGGGCCAGTACATCAAATGCCAAGTGTTTACGGTCATGAGATGAGAGAAGAAGGGATCCTTCAACAATAACTTCGCAGAAAGACTGAAGATTCTTGGCAACTTCTTCTTCAGAAGAGCTGGACTTGCGACTCTTTTTGTGCTTCTTTAAGGAACTTGAAACTGATGTTGTATCTTCAGCTTGCAAAACTGTATCAGGTAAGAGAATATTTACCAGCACAGGCCACATGCTGTGAACTCGGGGCTGACAGAAGGTGGATTCCTGCCATTTACACACAAACAAAAGTATTTTTAGAATACCCATAATTTGTTACCCGCCATAGTAGAGTTGCAGTGTATGGGCATATCCAATAATCACCTTCAAGCAATTGACAAGAGAGGACAAATGGTCAGCAGCAAAAAGTTTGCTAGAGCTGAAGGGAGTTGGCAGAAGTTTGCCAAATATTTTGCTGTTGACATAGATTTTTTCCTGAATTCTCAATGCTAAAAGCAGAGCATCAGGATTTCCAACTTCATTGGCTCCTTCAAACCATTCATGAAGACCCGGAGCTTGAAGAACAGGACTTAGCAAAGCGTCAGTAGGCAACTGTAAAACCATAAAATATCTCACTTCAAGAATTAAGAATGATAAAGTGAACAAGTCCAGATCCATGCTATTTTAAATAAAAAGAATGAAATGAAACAGTATCTCTTTCTTTAAGGTAATTATGTAATAATTATTAAAGTGCAAGGGAGAGCTGATCCATGTATGCCAAATGCCCAAGTCTATTAATGCAGAAAGTCCAGCCTCCAAGTAGTTTGAAACTCAGGCAAGAATTGATTAAGGCTATTAATCAATTGCTATATCTATCAATTTTTTCTGCGCTGAACCTTTCATACAACCAACTGGTAGGCTATATATATATACCTCAAGGAAATCAATTTAATACATTTCAAAATGATTCCTACGTTGGAAACTTTGGGTTGTGTGGACTCCCATTGTCAAAGAAATGTGGGGATAATGAGCTCCCATCACCAATACCATCCATCTACCAAGAAGGAGACGATGATTTGAGGTGGTTCGATTGGAAAATCACTTTGATTGGTTACGGATGTGGATTGGTAATAGGCTTGTCTATACGATACATCGTATTCACAACAGGAAATTCTCTAAGGTTTGTAATAATGGTTGAAAGAGTGAGGCTTAGAATCATAACAAGAGTGAAGAGAACTCATCCAAGAAGAAGAAAATAGTGACTTCAATCATTGCTCTTAACAAGGTGAGTACTTTGATTATATAAACTCACCATTAGTTTTTCAACCAATGGAATCAATATGGTCTATATATTACATTTCAATACTATGTTATTTGCAAGTTTTCATGGTAAAGCCACATTTTCCAGAAAAGCATAAATGAAAAGTGCTTCAAGTTGATTTATTTGTTATAATTTGTATTGTGAAGTACTTCAAGTTGATGGTAAGCTTAGAGTTATGTTGAAGAAACTTTGTGCTTTACATATTTATCTCTAAATCTGTTTAGTCTGTTTGTTTTATATTAATCCTGGTGTTCATGGGAGTTTTTTATTATTCAAAAAAGTATGGGTATAGTTGTAATTTTAGACCTTATTCGGGGCAATCCTAGTAATTTAATCACTCCCTGTTGCCAATTGGTAATTGCTGCAAATCTATCTCTCACTGACACGACCACGGTGTACCGCTAAAACCCTTTCTCTCTCTCACACCCACAGAAACACAACACACTAAAACCCTTCTCTTCAATACCAGTCAAACTGCCAAACAAAATGTTGAAAATGGACGAGTCTCCACTTTGACTTCTCTAAATCTTCCATTTGAACTATATCCCAAAACCTGCAAAACCCTATATTCCCTTCATATCCCTTCTCCGTTTTTCACTTTCACTAATAAACTCAATCCCAAAACCCATAAATTCTTGTACATATCTCAATCTTCTTCATTTCTCAATTTTTGACTAGATTTCCCCTTAATTCTTGACTTTTAAATTCTGGGTTTCTTTTTTTCTCTAATTATTTTTGCTGGGATTTGTCAAAGTTTCAATTTTTAATTCATTTTTGTTCATATTTCATGGATTTCGGCTCAATGCTGTTCTATAGAATTTTCAGATGAAGACTTGTTGCTGGCTGGGGACTAAGTTGCAAAACCGGCCCTTGTTGATGGCTGGAAGTCTTGATGTTGAAGACATACCTGTACCCAGAATCATGTTAGACTGCAGGTCTGCGATAAACATCATCCCTTTGAAGATGCTGCTGAAGTTGGGATATACTATCAATGATCTCAGTCCAACCAATCGGTCAACAAGCCCTCGGCACCATCCGATTACGGTTAATGATCGAAGATATGATGACTTATGTCACATTTCACGTCATCTTGAATCTACGGTTTTCAATCGACCCACGTTCGTTCCAACAATAAAAAACGCGCTTTCCTCCACCAATATCGATGTTCTCAATTTCCTGTCAAGATTTCACCCAGAATTCATCACTACCCAAAGTTTCTCTAGATATCCGAAAAACAAAATTTTGGACACTAGAACCCGCGTGAAACCAATGCACAAAGTCACTACAGAACTGGGTCGTGAAAAAAATTGAAGTTTTGGATTCAAATTTAGAGAAAGTTAAGATTTTCATGAAAGGGGGAGTCGTTTTAGGGCCGTCCGTTTGTGGGGTCTTGGTGTTTGGTTGCAAGCGAGTTTTTTCTGTGGAGAGTGAAGTAAATATTGGGTATGGAGTTACTTGACAGAGCACATTGTTGTTGAAGAATGCTTGGCCTAAAGTTTCTCATGTTTGAGAGTGTTTAAAGAGCAAGGTTTGGTTTTGGCTGCGCTTTTGGGGTTGTCTGCGTTCTTTCAATGACTGAGACGTCTATCACCACGCTTTTGCCTTGGAAGGTATACAATTCTTGAGCTAGTTTGTGTTTGTTTAATGTTTATGTAACTGTGTTGTCACAAATTATGCATTTAAGTGTTTGCTATTATTCTGGTCTTGGAAATGTATTAGCTTAGTTTGGTGTCATTTTGATGTTGGTGGTTTATGGAGTCTAGAACAATTTATTGCACATTGTGTTATTATTGTGAAGGGCAAATTATTTAATTTTATTTATTCTAGTGCTGCTCTATCATATGTACTTATAAAGTCCAATTATATTATGTTGGATATAATATTAGAATGTGTTCCGTTGAGGTGTTGTGAATGCTTTTCCTTTTCCTGGGTTTTAGATAACTGGAGTTGAGGAATAGCCGAATTAGAATATATGGACTAATAAAATAAGCACAAGCTCGTTGAATTCTAAACCACATTACCCGTTTCAGCTTAAAAGATGTTAACTGAAAAATCATATGGTACTTTTTGGTGCAAGTACACTATTGCCATCTCTTCAAATAGTTTTATTTGTTCTAGTTGGCCATTTGATATTATTCTGAATGAGGTGCAGGAATTGGCCGAAAAAGAGCCTGATAATGGTGTCTTTAAAATGCTTTGCAGTGATGTTACTCGGTTTTTGACGACTATTCTCACTGGAACGACGTACTACCCTCCCCCTTAATGTTGGTATAACTAATTCTTTTCTTCTCATATTGAGTTTGAAAATTAATTCTTTTATAGATTCTATTTAGGTATTCAGTGTGGCAAATATTGGAGCCACTGTGTTAGTCACAAAGGCGGCAACAGCTTTATTTTGTGTGGCTGGTGTCGGTGCTGCAACAGGAGTAATGACTTTAAGTATGACTTTCTCTCTCTGTTAAGGACATGCATATATATTATGAACTCATATTCAAATGCCAGGCAGAGCTTATAGTCGACATCTAAGTTTTTGGTGCACAGGATATAGTTGCCATCAAACTGAGTACTTGTCCTCATTGAAACAAAGTTCATGTCGTCTATGGATTAAAACCTCATGAAGATACACACTAAGATGTCTATACCCTATTTCAATTGCTTTAAACAGTTTTCCTTTTCCTGAATGATATTAGGGGGCCGTATTACTTCTTACTGAAATTACTTTAAAAAGTATTGCTGTTCATAATGCCACAGAGGTTGCTAGGTTTGTGGTAACTTTAAATTATATATTCCACTTCCTTCAATCTAAATAAGGGTGTCTCTGTTAATGCTTAATAGATTTGGCTTTCCCTTGTTTTTTCCCCAACCTCATGCTTAATGGAGTTCTGTAGGTTTTCCGTGCTTTGCTGATGTTACTGTTTGAGCTCTATTTGACTTTGCAATGTTTCTAGGTCGGGCCAGTGGCATGGCTTTCCTATGTACTTTACCCTGTGGGAAGAGTTGTCACATACCTATCAATGTGAATGCTAAAAGCTCTTGGTTTGAAAGGAAGAAGGTATGTTTGATCACGATCTTTTATTTATTTATTTATTTATTTTGTGAAAAGATAATCGTTGCTATTTTATTTATTTTTTAATCTTTTTCTATCTTCCACATCATACTTCATTTGTTGGCCATTTCCATCAAATTGTAATGTCTCTTGATCATGTTGTGATTTTAGACAACTCATTTGAATGGGCCTAATGGTTTCAGTTGTATTCAAGAAAGTATTTCTTGGCTAGCAAAAGAACAGGACACAAGGTTATGATAATAAATTTGCTATTTATCAAGTTATATTTGTATGGAGTTATTCATATCATGTTTAAGGCTATTTAGAGAAGGAAGTTAGGCTTAGAGTGGGGCAGTAGGTTACCAGCAACGAAGCAGAGGTTTAAGTGGTTATTATATATTTTATGAAAATAAAGTCTAATCCTTGATGTTTTATTCATTCCGCTAACAATTGCAAGAGGAATTTCATTTGACTGTATTCTGTTATTAAAACGGATTTAGGATTTTGTTTGAATGTTGCCACTTAAGTATTGATCATGCTATGCCCCGATGTCCTGTATATGAGGCAAATATTCATGTTAGTGAGGACATATTAATTGAAAGAGTCATTACTTCGTTTGTCATAAATAATGTTTTATTAACTATTTTTTTCCCCAGTCGTTATCTATATCTTAAATGCTTTCTTTATCAGTGAGCCATACATTACTGAAGATGAGTTGAAGCTGATGTTGCGCGGAGCAGAGTTGAGTGGGGCAATAGAGGAGGAAGAACAGGTAATGAAATTAATGAATTATAATATCTTAACGTTTTGATGTTAAATATGAGTCATTTTTTTTTTTAAGTTTTTGAACGCTAGTAGTCAAACAAAATCTGTAAAACCATATACACATAACCAGAGGTTTCACAATGAATTTTATTCTTCATCCTATTGCCATAATAGCTTCAGTGGTAATATTCCATTATGCATGGGAAACTTTAGCAATCTTCATGTGTTGGATTTGCAGAAAAATAAACTTCATGGCACCATTCCAGGAAAATTTGCAAAGCGCAGCCTCTGAGGACCCTTAACTTCAATGAGAATGAATTTCTAGATATTGGTAACAAGGTGGAAGATACCAAACATATTGGCTAGAAAGTCTTCTTGATTTGCAAGTTCTTGTCCTTCATTCAAATTAATTTTACGGGTCTGTATGGAGTTGCTCAAAGACGAAGCACTGTTTTCCTAAGTTGAAAGTATTTGACCTCTCAAGCAATAGATTTTGTGGTCCATTGCCAGCCTGGTATTTCATAAATCTTAATGCCATGAAGGATGTTAGTGAAGCTGAGAGGAAGTTGCAATACATGGGTGAAAGTTATTATCAAGATTCCATTACAGTGACAATGGAAGGGCTTCAGCTTGAACTAGTGAAAATTATCACTGCTTTTACTGCCATTGATTTTTCAATTAACAACTTCCATGGAGAGATTCCCTTAGTAATTGGAGAGCTTCATTCACTTATGCACCTCAATCTTTCTTTAAACAAATTAAGAGGTTGTATCCCATAATCACTTGGAAATTTGAATGCTCTTGAATCCTTAGACCTGTCTTCCAACAAGTTTGTTAGATAATTCCATGGCAGTTGGCAAATTTAAATTTTCTTGGAGCTAACTCATCAGGCCCGTTCTATGGTCACCGCACTTTGATACCTTCGGAAATACTTAATACGTTGGAAACTTGGGATTGTGCAGATGTCCATTGTCAAAAGAATGCAGAAGAGATGAGACACTACAAGCACCCTCAAAATTAGAAGATGATGCACACTCCACAAATGGATTTGGTTGGAAAGTGGTGTTGATAGGCTATGGATGTGGAATGGTGTTTGGAATGATAATAGGATATCTTGTGTTCTCAACAAGAAAGCCTCAGTGGCTTGTAAGGATCGTTGTAGGAGGACATCGTCAAAAGGGGAGAAGGCCGAACAAGAGACACCGTGGAAGAAAAGAATATTTCTTACAGGTCCAGTGTAAGTATTGTTTCAAAATTGTAGAGGAATGTTTGTTATCATCAAATGTAAACTTTGTTAGTGATGATGATAAATGTGTTGTACCAATAGTTTTGAAATCTAATTCAGCTACTCTATTGCGAAACTCACTGCTGTCATTTCCAATTTGCAGAGTTCTAGGTATTTGATTCCATGGAATTGAAGAATTTGGGAAAAGAGCGTTAACTTGGCATGTGATGAGCCCTGTCCGTTTCCCGTAATTTGGCGAAGTAAAATTAACTTGGGAGAAAAACATCATTGGTTGGCGACATCCATAGATCATAGAAAATTCTCTAACATTTTCTAGAATATTCAAAGCAAGGATCAAAACTTGGTGCTATATTAATGGTCGAGTAGTCTTATGAACAAGAGTGAAAACAATTTGTGACATAAATAATCCTTAAAACTTATGGTTATAACATCACAGCCATATATTAATTTTCACACTTACTTTCTCTCCTTATAAGGCCTCATGTTTGTTGAATGTAGAAATTTCTGTTGGTATAATAAGTGAGTCCTATGCTTAGACAGTGTCCAATGTACTTAGATGAGAATTAGTCAATACTCAAGTCTCTTTAGATGTTCAGTTAACCAGTTGTTTTAAACCAGTTTTTACAAATGGGCTTGGACCACTTTGGCCCAATTCCATCCCTCCCTCCACTTTGGCCTAGACCACTTTGGTTTGGTTTGGTTTTCGAGTTTTTTTCCACCCCTAGTCATTTGGGTTTTTGCTTCAACGTGTGACTTATTGTTTAAATTAAACTATCTCAATATTGACCATACAGTAGAAAGAAGAAAATTTTAAGTAAGAAAGTGACTTCAAGCATTGCAAGATTATTTTCCTATATAATGTGAGATTGGAAATTAATGTAGACAATATAATTTTCTAGTTAATAGACCAAGACTTATAATTAAATTGACACGCCTTGTTGCCCATTCCTCACTTCAAGGGCCCAAAAAGCAAGCTATAAGTCTTTAAATACGTAAACAATAAGTTTGTCTTCTCATATTCAAGAAGACGATGACTCTAGTAGAGAATGAATTTGCTAAATCAATAATAGAGTGGAAGCAGAAACAAAGACTTTTTTGTTTCCAGGCTAGTAGACCAAGACTTTATACGCATTAATCATATTATTGGACAAGTTCAGGCCAATAGACCAAGACTTTATACACACTTTTTTCTATGCGCATTAGCCACAGATTCAACTCTCCTTACATAATTTACATTTGATTCCTTACATTAAATTAGAAATTCTCTTTTAATTAACTTAATTGTTTATTTTAGGTAAAATTACCATAAAGAAATTAATTTTTAACAAATAAAATTGTTATCATTATCTTAACAGGGATCGTTACCAACTAACTGTAAATGTTCTCATCCACTAACATCTTACATTGCTATTAATTAACGTCAAGTATACAATTATCTAACGGCTGATAGCTAATGGCCAAATTCGTTATCACTTAACGTTGTTAAATAACGGCAATAACAATAGTCAGAATCATATCCTATTTGATTAAATCATATGTAGAATAGAATACTATTCTAAAAAACTAAACAAACGGAGCCAGAACATTTTTTGGAATATTCAAAGCAAGGACCAAGACTTGGTGCTATATTAATGGTAGAGTAGTCTTCTGAATGAGAGTGAAAACAATGTGTGACATTGATAGTCCTTTAAACTTATAGCCATAACATCATTGTCATATTTAATTTCCATGCCAACTTTCTGTCCATATAAGGCCCCATGTCAGTTGAATGTAGAAATTCTGTTGGTAGAATAAGTGAATCCTGTGCCACTTGCTAATTTTCTTTTGATTGATATGATGAAATGATTGATTTAGGGAGAATTGTTTTGTCAAATGTTTAATTTTATGGTGTCAAATGTACTTAGATGAGAATTAGTCAATACGCACATCTCTTTAGATGCATTAACCTTATGTTTGTCATTAATTTCTGCAGAAAAATGTTATGAAGATTATAGCAGAAGATTATACGCAAGTCAATAAAACAATATATTCCACAGAGTGTGAGATTGGAAATTTGGACGTTGTTTTCTGGTTAGTAGAACATATATAAATTCCTACAGAAGATTTTTCTCCAGCAACCTCAATTTAGTCTAGTCAATGACAAGATTCAACATTAAAACTTTGATCTCCATTTTTTCCACATTCCAGAGAGTTTGATTGCAAGGCAGCGTGAGGGAGGGAGTAAAAGAACCTAACACATGTATCTTTAAACTTGAATTTAAGAGTTCAAATTTGCAAGCTAAAGTTTTGAATTTTGAGATTGAATAATTATGAGTAACAATTCCTATAACACTCTCTAAATTTTTTAGATTTTTTTTTTTAATTAAATTGACAGGTCTTATTGCCTGTTCCTCACTTCAAGGGCCCAAGAACAAGCTATAACTCTTCAGATACGTAAACAATAAGTTTGTCTTCTCATATGCAAGAAGATGATGTCTCCAGCAAAGAATGAATATACTAAACCAATAACAAAGATAGTTTTGTTTCCAAGCTAGTAGACCAAGACTTTATACACACTAATTTACATTAGTTTTCATTCATTCAGTTACTATAGATATTTGGGAAATAGGAAGAAGGCCTTGGTAAGACACTAGTTTACGGTAGCAAATTTATTATGGAATTTGTCATCAAAACCAATTAACCGTTAATATAAATTTATGCATTTGAGGAATAAAATTAAAACAAAGAACATTAAATTTCATTAATAGCAATTAGCCTCAATTCAGTCTAGTCAATGATAAGATTCCATATTTAATTTCTTCAGCACCACTTGGAAAATAACATCTGTAATCTACGACATCTATGGGTGACCAAGACTGCAATTAATTTCTACAATAGTGAGTAGTGACCCTTCATTTCTCTTCTATTTATAATCATATTGTTTCTTGTGATTCATCATAATAAACAAAAATGGGTTGTCTAGCATTGTCTTATCAACTTCTCTTCCTCCAATTATTTCTCTTTTATTCTCATACTTCTGCAACACTCTGCTCTCATGATCAGAGTTCTGCATTACTCCAGTTCAGGAAACTCTTTTCCTTCGAAAACATTTCCTGCTTTTATTATAATGATTATGAGCTTTATAAGGTTCCTTCTTATCCAAAAATGATGTCTTGGAAAGAGGATTATGACTGTTGCTCATGGGATGGTGTTACATGTGATTCGGTGACAGGTCATGTGATTGGCCTGGACCTTAGCTGTAGTTGGCTTTCTGGCAAAATCCCTTCCAACATTACCCTCTTTCTTCTTCCTCAATTGGAAAGACTCAATCTAGCTTACAATAATTTTAATCTCTCTCAAATTTCTTCTGATTTTGGTCAGTTGACCAGTTTGACACATCTTAATCTCTCTTCCTCAAACTTTAGTGGTCAAATTCCATATGAAGTCTCCCATTTGTCTAAGTTGGTTTCACTTGACCTTTCATTCAATTTTTACGATGAGAATCATGGCTTGATAATTGAAAGAGTTGTTTTCGACATGCTAGTTCAAAATTTGACTGTGTTAACAGACCTTGCTCTTGACGAGGTGGACATGTCTGCCATCGTACCTAGTTCATTGATGAATCTATCTTCGTCTCTAACTTCTCTAAGTCTCTGGGGGTGTAAACTGCAAGGGAACGTGCCAGAACGCATCTTCCGCCCACCAAATCTGAAGATCCTTTGGTTAGGTGATAACTTCAACTTGACAGGTAATTTTCCCAAACTTAATTGGAGCAGCCCACTCAAGCTTTTGGATGTCTCTGACATGAGCTTGTCGGAACAAGTACCTAATTCAATCAGCAATCTCGTTTCCTTGAGGGAATTGCATCTCAGTAACTGCACTCTCGTTGGGTCAGTTCCTGCCTCACTTGGCAATCTTACACAACTTGCTTATTTGAGTCTGTCTAGGAACAAATTCAATGGTCATATCCCCTCATTTCTTTCGAATCTTGCCAAACTCCGTATGCTAGATCTTACCAACAATAATTTTATTGGTGAAGTTCCAGATATCTTTCTCAACTTAACGCAACTTTCTTATTTATACTTGTCAAGTAATCAACTCACTGGTCCAATACCATCTTGGTTATTCACTCTACCATTATTGCACACCATTTATTTGGATGATAATAGACTGAATGGCTCTATTCCAAGTTCAATCTTTGAACTTGTGAATTTAACCTATCTTAGTCTTTCTTCAAACAATTTAAGTGGAATTGTAGAGCTTCACTTGTTCTCAAAGCTAAAAAACCTTCAGTATCTTGATCTTTCTCATAATAGTCTGTCAATTAACACTACATTCAAAGGCAACTCGTCATTTCCACAACTTTACTACTTGTACTTATCTGGTTGCAACTTAAGTGAATTCCCAAGTGTGTTCAAAGCTAACTTGTCCTTTCCACAACTTCGGACTTTGCAGTTATCTAGTTGCAACTTAAGTGAATTCCCAGTTGTGTTAAGAACTCTAAACCAATTACAGTACCTCGACCTTTCTGAAAATAAAATCAATGGTCAGATACCTAATTGGATGGGGGACGTTGGAATTGATACTTTGTACTTTCTAAATCTTTCCCGCAACAACTTGACCGGCATAGACCAACTTCCTTGGAAGAATCTTGATGTTCTTGACCTTCGGTTCAACTTGCTCGACGGGCCAATTCCGATTCCACCACCTTTCTTGACAGTATTATTGTTGTCAAACAACAAATTGACTGGGGAGATACCTCATATGATCTGCAATATGAGTGCCATAGAAATTCTAGATCTTTCTAGTAATAGTTTGAGTGGTAAAATTCCAACATGCATGGGAAGCTTTAGCAATCTTCATGTGTTGGATTTACAGAAAAATAAACTCTATGGCACCATTCTCGGAAAATTTGCAAAGGGTAGTCCTTTGAGGACCCTTAACATCAATGAGAATGAATTGGAAGGGAAAATCCCACGATCTCTAGTCAATTGCACGAAGCTTCAAGTTCTAGATATTGGTAACAACAAGGTAAATGATACCTTCCCCTATTGGCTAGAAAGTCTGCTTGAGTTGCAAGTTCTTGTCCTTCATTCAAATCAATTTTATGGTTCTGTATGGGGTTGCTCAAAGACGAAGCATTGTTTTCCAAAGTTGAAAGTATTTGACCTCTCAAACAACAAATTTGGTGGTCCATTGCCAGCCAGGTATTTCGAAAATCTAAATGCCATGAAGGATGTTGGTGAAGCAAAGAGAAAGTTGCAGTATATGGGTGAAGTTTATTATCAAGATTCCATTACAGTGACAATGAAAGGGTATGAGTTTGAGCTAGTGAAAATTATCACTGCTTTCACTGCCATTGATTTTTCAAATAATAACTTTTATGGAGAGATTCCAAAAGTAATTGGAGAGCTTCATTCCCTTTTACACCTCAATCTTTCTTTAAACAACTTAACAGGTTGTATCCCATCATCACTTGGAAATTTGAATGCTCTTGAATCCTTAGATCTTTCTTCAAACAAGCTTGTCGAAAGAATTCCATGGCAGTTGAAAAATTTAGATTTTCTTGGAGTGCTAAACTTGTCTCAAAACCAACTCACGGGACCCATTCCACGAGCACCCCACTTTGATACCTTTGGAAATACTTCATACATGGGAAACTTGGGATTGTGTGGATTTCCATTGTCAAAAGAATGCAAAAGTGATGAGACACTACCACCACCTTCAAAATTAGAAGATGACGCAGAGTCTTCAATTAGATTCGGTTGGAAAGTGGTGTTGATTGGCTATGGATGTGGAATGGTTTTTGGATTGATCATGGGATATCTTGTATTTTCAACAGGAAAGCCTCATTGGATTGTAAATATAGTCGAGGGAGAACGCCGTCAAAAGGGGAGAAGGTCGAACAAGAAACGTGGGGGAAGAGGAGGTTAGTGCTTTCAACTTTGTTAAGAGTGTTGACGATATATGTGCTGCACCCTTTTTTTTTTTTTTTTTTTTTTTTTTTTGCCCTTTTTATCTTCTATGTTTGCTGTCAGTGTAAGCAATCAACCATAAACAAGCGCAGCATTAATTTTTTAAAAGGCCTTGGTAACTTCAATTTTTATTTAACCTTCATAGTTACTGCATTTTTTAAGTTGTTTCTCATTTCTTTTCATTCAGAAAATTGAATTTCTGTTCGCGAGATTTCATTTAGAAAGCGAGTATATTACCTTGGTCTGATCAATTTTTCTAGCTTTCTTAGAGTAGTTTAAAACTTTGTTCTCCGTTAGTGCGTGCAAGACCAAGACTGCGAATATTTACACTTACTATGGTGGATGACCAAGACTTGCATGATTGAATTTTTTATTTCCAAATCTGCACTTAACAGTACCAAATGCTACCCTTGAGAAAACTTGTAAATAAAGAAGTTTTGAAAGATGTAATTATTCTTATATTCCTTCTAATTATATATTTGCTTCTAATTAATATAAACCACATAAGTTAACATCCAGTGTATTGGTTATGATGGGTTGACCAAGCATGATTACCATAAAGCGTCTCTAACACATAGTTTAAGCATACAAGTGTTGAATTCGAAGAGCATCATGTAGAGGAACAAATCATGTAGAAGAAAGATGGTTGAGGTTAAGGTTGTGAACAACAAAATTAAAAATTTGCTTTAGACTTCTCCAAAATTTAGTTTCAGTCTCGCTAATGTGTTGACAGTGAGGACTTAAGGGTAAAGAAAGAACAGTCCAAATATATTCAAGAATTAAAATTTTTCGAGTAAAATAGATTTTTTTCTGTTACGACAATTGGAATAAAGTGGCTCATACACTCATGATTTGTTTATAAATACGTAATCTCAGACATCCTACAAGTTAAACTTGCTTCATAATTTTAAGATTACATTTCAATTCATGTGATATTTGATTTAACATCACCAAAATAATTGTACTTGTAACATTAGCCTTTCAAAATTATGATTTTAAGAACAGAATAAGTGAAGATGCATTTATGTGGAGATTTAATAAAATTCTAAATGAAGCCAAGCTAATCATTTGCTTTAAACATTGTACAACGATAAGGTTAGTGTTAGTTTTGCATGCAAACGAAAGAGAAAAAACAGAAAACGAAAGAGCAAACCAGCCTGCAAATAATGCTCTGTTTTTTATTCAAAAAACAGGGGTAAAAATATACACGCCAACGTCACTGTTTCAACTAATTACATTTCAAAATTCAAATTTAAATTAACTCCACCTGCTAAAACACGTACAAGCAAGTGAGACATAACACTTAACCAAACTTAACACTTAAACAAGACATTGAACAAATCAAATACAGTGACTAAAAAACTGCTTCTGCATGAATTACGGGAGATCAACAGNACTGTGTTATTCAAGATGTTTAAAGTTTTTTTAAATAAATAAATTTTAGAGTTCATTTAATATTTTATAAAAGTTTATTTGTATTATGTATAAGGGTATACAATATTGAATAGACTCTTATTTTCATTCTTCATCTTGAGTTGATGAATCTTGGAGATGTTATAAAGGGAGACAACTTAGCATCCCAGCAAAACCAAACTAAAACGACAGCGTTTTCTATTCGTCTAAGGAGTGAGTATGGTTCATTGAAAGTTCTTAAACTATGAAGAATCATATATTGATGAATTGTTTTGTATAAAATAAAGACAGAACACAATAGTTTACCCTGGTTCGTTTCAATTAAGAAACTACGTCCAGCATTCAAATAGAAAATTTTATTGAGTATCAGAACTCTGTAGCAATTACAACGGTAGCTCACTCTCACTCTCTATTCTCTCCTTAAGTTTTTCACTGTTACAAAAAATACATAATAGAAACCTAACCTCATTTAGACTTACTCGAATCTAACCCGACCCAGACCCAAATATTAGTAAACTAATTCTGGCTTACTGTGAAAGGGGCAATCGAGTCTCTGTAGGTAGACAATCTGTCAAGGCCAATAGAAGTATATACTATATCCAAAATTCCCCCACCCACTACAGTAAAAAGAGTGAAGTTCAATTTGACTTTCCGTAGAGATAAGAGATCTGTAAAAATTTTAAGAACAAAATAAACAGAAACAATCTGTAAAAAAATGTCTTGATTAATTGTAGTCTCTAATTCACTTCTTTAAATGAAAATATTCCACTGCTAAAAGCTCACCTGCAGTTGTGATATACTTACTTGTACATTAAGCCAGTCAAATTCTTGGCTATGTTTGGTATCAACACTGTACAGTAGTTTAGCTCATTCATCTCAGACAGCCTGTTCTCAGGGGAATAAGTAGCAGATGTAATTGATATAATCCTATAGGCGTTTTCTAATTGATCATACTATTATACAGCATTTTCAATTAAATCCTGGCATCAATATATAACTGAACTTGCATTAGTGATATTATTGAATCAAGTTTCTTATAGATTCATGTTCGAACTAATTGAATCAAGTTGAACTTATAGCAAGAAAAGGAAGAACTAATTTCTTGGTTATATTCTAATCATTTAATTAGCCTAATAACTAAAAAAACACATATCTCACATTAGTTGTAAACTATAATATCTTATGTGAAAAGCCAGAATGCATGCATGCATACTTAATACGAAAAACCTGTTTCTTGGAAGCTTTCTTCTTTCGTTTCTCTGATCATCTCTTCTGCAACTCTTTTCTGCTTCTTCTTGATAATAATAGATTTTTAAATAGAAAGAAGTCTGGAAATTGTGAATTACATAATAAGGAGGAGAGGATCAAAATTTAGAATCTTTAATTTAATGGGAACAATTAATTAATCAAGAATTAATGAAAAGATTAAAAAGCATTAACTTAAAGGACTCTATGGATACGCATTGTCGAGAAGAAATGCCCAGATTAACATTAACATTAACAATTAATTAAACTAATACAAGATTCTATTCTATATGCATGAGAAGCCATTAATGAATTAAATCAAGAGAACACGCTAATTCTAAACTATAATATCTTATTTGAAAAGCCAGAATGCATGATGCATGCATGCTTAATACGAACTGAAATATGAAAAATCAATACGGAAAACCAGTTTCTTGGAAGCTCTCTTCTTTCGTTTCTCCGGTCCTCTCTTCGGCAAGTCGTTTCTTCTTCTACTTCTTCTTATTCATCTTCTTTAAATCTTTTATCAAGAAGAAGAAGAAGAATGAGAAGAAGAAGAAAAAGAAAAGAGTTGCAGAAGAGATAAAAATAAATCTGATTGATTTATTATAAGAATAGCTGAAACTTATGAGAAACTTTGAATTTATAAGCTTTCGTGGAGCCGCCATGCAGCAAACGACAGACTAATGTGGGTAAAACGACATGTCGTTTTGCTTTGCAAGTTTTGTGTTTCATGTTTCTTTTAGATCCTTAACTTTGTCATAATTAAATTTAATTCACCCTTATAATTTTAGAAAATCATTAAAATTCACTATTATTTGTGCAATATTAATCAATCACTGTAATTTAAAAATAATATATTATCAGGGAAACCCCTCATATCACCTTAAGTAAGGGTAATTATTATAGTATTATTATATTTTTAAAATTCAAATTATAAATATATATAAAAAAAATTTATAAGCCATTGAACTTTTTGATCTTCTAACTACTCTTATTTTCTAATATTTAAATTTGACATAACTAATTTTAGATACTGAAACCCAAGACTTTATTTGAGGGAAGAGTCCACTTTCACATGATAATAATATACTTTATTCAAATATAAAGTATAGGACCATATAATAAGTAAAATTCATCATTCAAGCAGCCAATGAAATTAAAATTCTTAAATGTCAATTTATTTTAAGTCGCAGGGTTGGGGGGAAGAATAGGAAAAATGATTTCACTATATTTCTACCCAGACACTGACCTTATCACAAGTTTTTTTTTTTTTCTTTTAGTGTGACGATAGTTTTGAAAAGACAGTTTGCCTACCTTGGTGGGGCAGGCCTAATTCAAACCCCTTTGGTAAAATTAGAATGGCCTCTACCTTCAAAGTCTCCCTTTTACCATTTGCACTAACTTGTTTCAGTTGACCACCCTTGGATAGCCGAGTAGTTAGACAAGGACTCTTGAGAGTATATCACTCAATAGATCATGAGTTCAAGTCATCTCATTTGCTAATAGAATTGGTCACTAGAGGGTATATCCAGTCATTAACTTTAGGGTTCCGTAAGATTACTCGAGGTATGCATAAACTAGCCGGGACATCTCTAATCATTAATTAAAACTTGTTTCAGTTGCATATCATAACAAATTCTAACAACTGCTTTAAATACAATATCAGGAAGCATATCATGTGGAACCTCAATATCCTCCTCAATATCATAAGAAATTCTCGAGAAAACGTTACTTAATATACTCTAAATAAGGTAGTTGCTATGTCGAAGGGTATATACATTATTCTCTATTGAAATATTATATTCAATGTCTGTTGATGCTTGATTTTGACATCAACTATTCGCACATGGGAAATGTTAAGAGGACTTAGAAGTCACACGTGATATGAGAATATTTAGTTAAATAAAGGGTGAGAAGCAATGTTTAAAGTGGTTCGGATGCACAAAAAACGAATCCTACGTCCACTGATATTGTATTAATGAACATGGTCAGGTCGCATTAAACGAGTTGAGTTACAGCTTAGAGAATACAAAGGGGGGGGGGGAGAGAGAGAGAGAGAGAGAGAGAGAGAGAGAGTGTGTGTGTGTGTGTGTGTGTGAGAGAGAGAGAGAGAGAGAGAGAGAGAGCAAGCTATTCTAGAGTGAAATTAGCTAATCCCGCAAATGAGAGAGAATGCCTCTATTTATAGTAGGATAAACCAAGGTAATGATTACTAATTTTGCAAGTGGGTGGATACCATTCAAATCCTTCTCGGCGTCCCATTGCCCACCTACTCGAGTGATTTCTTCGACTTATGCAGGGATACGACGCATGGGCGATATCCAACAATTCGCTAGCCTGGCACTCACCCACTGCACTGACAGGGGCATGGCCCTTACGTCATTATGCGATGTGGGTGCGTGTGAATAGTCGCAGAACTTTCCCAAGTTCTGAACATCCCATGCTGACAAGACTCTGCATCAGCCCTACTTTTTTAGGCATAATAGAAGCCCCTTAATTTTTAAGGTTTGAGAATCAAACCTTGAGAACTTCACGATTATGCCTTGATTTGATATGTCCCGAATGACGCCTAGTCTATCCGACCTGGCTGTAATGAGGTCGCAGAACATTTTTCCTACGAATGACCTGATATGGTCTCCTTCCGTAAGATTACGACTTGGATCAGAGCCTATTTAGTGTCGTATCGATGCGCTTCTTATCTTAACCGAGGTTCTCGACCTGGTTATACTTAGCATATTTCTGCTAAAGGAATAACATTGCTCCGCAACTGACATGCGACGAAGAGTGTTCTGTCCCAACGACCTTTTCAGATGTTATCCGTTGCGCTTGACAATTAATCCATTAATGAGGTGTACTTTATTATGAAAAACATGTCATGTATGCAATAAATGCTAGCCATGCGCATTGAATGCAAGTCATGTTGAAACAACATTCATTATTAGGGCATTAAATGCGGATGGGGGCGCATTTAATGCGGAGGAGAGAATCAAGTCGTCGCTCGATTATTTCAACGGAGAGACGAGATGATTAATTTTCTTAAAGCGTGGCGGTTACTCTTTCTCGCGGGTTGATGACACGTGGTCGCGATCAACATCCAGAAATGCATTCCGTCCAAACCTCGCTTGGCTTTAGAAATCCTAATTGCCATTTCCTCCACTATAAAACCCCAGACTCCCTTCAAGCAGTGTCACAACACTTACATTTTCAAAAGAAAGCAAAGAGCTCTCACGAGACCAGGCTTCCAATTTTTTAAGTTGGTGCGCATCTTCTGCTTATAGGGAGAGGTTTGACCCCCATAGCCAAAACAAAAAGGTAAGGAAGGCCCTTTCGTTGCTTTTCTTTTTTTGTTTCCAGTGTAGTTAACCAGTCGATAATAGCGGGTTTCCGTAAGGAATAGGTTTTTAGGATTTAAGCCATTGGGGGTGGTCCCTAAGGGTTTTTAGGGATTTCGCTCTTCTACATCATCGTACAAAAATCTTTGTACGAAGACTGAGTAATCTCCACGTATCCCCCTTTTTCAGACGGTAGATGATATAGACCTTACAGCGACCAGATCAGATGAAAGGACAAACTCATAAACGCAGGACACCCTAGTAGGTCCTACGTAAGAGATTCTATCAGTAGCTACCCGAGACGAAGTACAGGAGGCAATAGACCAATACACAATTAGCGTGGACGTCTATCATTACCGGAGGCATACAGCTCAAAATCCGCCAGAGGGAATGGTTGCGATCTCTAAAGCTATATTCAAGTGTGGAGCACTGATTCCCTTCCATCTCTTTATCAGGTCGATCCTTGATCACTTCGGGGTCACACCTTTACAACTGATACCTAACGCATATATAATAGTCGTGACTATGTATATCGCGTGGGTCGAGTACGACCTCAGCCAACTGACTACGTTAGAGCTCCCCTGCGTGTACTATCTAAAGAAGTGCAAGGACAAAGACTCTTACTACCTCTCAAGGCAACCCACAATCGAGAGAGGCATTCATAATTACCCCACTAATGTCGGAGCATACGAGACTAAGTTTTTCTTTTTTCATTATGATGGCATCTGCCACTTTAGGGAGCCGAGTAGGTTTTTCCCTTGATTATACTTGGTGAATTTTTCCTTTCTTTTTGGCTTTGTTTTCTAATGATCTCTCGTCTCTTCGCAGGGAATAAGTCGACCAGGTTGTTAGACCTTTTTGACCTCAGCCGAATAGTTTCATTCGGTAACCTGCCAGATTACTATCGCGACGTGAAGCGGCTTGTGACAACTGCAAACTTGAGGAAGTACTGCTTCTTGAACTCTAAATCGACCTTGGAACCCCTACTTCGTAAGTGTCCGTAGTCCCTTTAGATTTTACCTTTGCATGCAGCGAACCTTTAACTAATAGTACATGTATGCAGTAGACATGTTTCCCAAAGTGTCGAAATCGTTAAGGGAGAGAGCGTTCGTTTTTCCTCGGGTCGGCACCACAGGACCAGCCGTGATGGGCCCCAGCGATGTCCTAACTGGAGGAACGCAGGTGGGGGCGCAACCACCTATCGAACAACTAGCCAAAACTGCTCAGCTTGTGACTGCTTGCCCAAAGCAAAAAACCATGGGCCAAAAGGTGAAGAAAAGAAGGGTGCTGCAGCCCAAAAAATCAGAGTCCGAGCCAGAGGTCTTGGGGGTGCAACTTGAGAGGTCACAACCTTATCAAGCTCTTCACGCTGGAGGGAGCTCGAGGCGTGCGACTAGGGTTACAATTCTCCCGAGCCATTCACGCAAAGGACAGACTGCGACCTTTGGGAGGAGAGAAGGTAAGGGGTCGACTGGCGAGGTGCCCTTGGCTACCGGAGCTAACACCTCGGTGCTAGACTCTATGGGTCATCTCCGAAGCACCTTCAACCGGTGGTGTTCACCTTTTTGGAGTGCCAGCTTGCCAAAGTTTTTGACGAGCTTGTGGCCTCCAACCTTGAGGACCTGATGATCAGAGTTGTCCAACTGCAAAGCCAGGTAAAATGGTTTATCCTTGTCGAGGACTTTCGAATACTTACTCTTTCTCAAGGCAGCAGCCTAACACTTGCTTATTACTTGCGCAGTCTTTGCTCGCCCTGTATCTGGCCCAACAAAAGACCCAATTGGAACCTACCGAGAGACTCTTCGAGCTAAAGGAAGAGAATGCACAACTAAAGCTAGATTTGGCAGCTACGAAAGAAGGGTTGGACCTGAACATCGTCCAAACAAATCAATACATGTCAGAGAGGAACTTTGCCCTCAATACGGTGGAATTCCAGAAAACTGAACTAGAGAAAATGAGGGAAGAGCTCAAACAACTCCAAAAGACAGTGGCCAGACTCACCAGGAAGGCTAGCGAGGAAGAAGCGGAGCTGCGAGCGAGCTCTGAGCAGGCCTTGCGAGCGGAGGAAGAGAGCTTGGTTGTGGGAGACTTTCGAGAAGCAGAAGAAAGCTCTTGAAGCAGGCCTGGAAATGTCCTAGGGGTGGGTTGCTTCTTTAACTGAAGAGATGAAGCGACAAGAGTTGGAGATTGAGAGAAAAGCTACTAACTGGTCGATCTAGTCAATTTATGCTCCGAAGCCAATGAACCCAACCATGGACCTTACCAACCTCCCGGATGATTACCAGAAGATCCTTGCCTTTATGGCACAAGCTGATGATGAGGCAGACCAAGGACTTTATCAAGGAGATGATCATCCGGAGGGGCATGTTCTGGAGGACCCAGAAGCTGACCAGGAGGTCGGCGACCAGCCTGGGGATCCTGAAGTCGCACCGAAAAGACCTAGGGACGAAGACCAATGATCGTTTCTGCCTCTACTTTTCCCACAACTTTGTTTATCTATCTTTGCATAGTCCTCTGTACAAAATGACTTTATGAATGAATTTGATCGTTTTTCAATTTATTTGTGAATACCTATAATTTTTCGTACTTCACAAACATTACACATGCGAGCAGGAGGATGCACTCCAACTATTTGCAATATTAAATTATTTGTGAGTACTTATAATTTTTCGCACTTCTCAAACATTACACAAAACATTGTGCACACGAACAGAAAGATAAGAACGATGTGAATAACTAAATCACATTTATACAAGATGAATTTTACTTAACATCGATCTTAATTACAAAAGCTTTACAAGGAAAAAGCGAGTTCGGAATAACTGATAATAAGGGCGAAGATGCTTAGCATTCCAGGCTCACGATACTTTTGAACTATTGAGCCTTTTGAGGTGATAAGTCCCCAAGCGTATCACCTTAGCGACGTGGTAGGGGCTTTCCCAGTTTGGTCCTAATACTCCCGTGCTTGGTTCCCTTGTACCGAGAATAACTTCTTTCAGAACCAGGTTACTGACCTGAAAGTCTCTTCTCCTGACTTTAGAGTCGAAGAATCTTTTCGCGCGTTGCTGGTAGGCTGCTATCCTCAGCTGAGCCTTACCGCGATGTTCTTCAACTAAATCCAGACTTGCGCGCATGAGCGCTTCATTGTCAGTTTCATTGAACAGGTCTTTCCGAAGTTAGCCAGTCCCTACTTCCACAAGGATCATTGCCTCACAGCCATACACTAACGAGAAAGGTGTTTCTGAAATGGAGGTCCTCGGAGTTGTCCTGTATGCCTATAGGACTTTTGAGAGGTCGTCAACCCAATTTCCCTTGGCAGCGCCAAGTTTAGCTTTCAAAGTATGCTTGATGGTCTTGTTGACAGCTTCAACCTGACCATTTGCTTGCAGTCTTACGACTGAGGTGAACTTTTGTGGATCCCCAGCTCATCGCAAAACTGCTTGAATTCCTCGTTATTGAATTGCTTCCCATTATCAGAGATGAGGGTATGAGGAATTCCGTAGCGGCACACTATGTTTTTTAAGACAAAGTCCTTAAGCTTTTTGGTAGTGATCGCGGCCAAGGGTTCGACTCAGCCCACCCGATGAAATAATCCACCGCGACCACCGCATGCTTGACCCCTCCTTTTCCAGCTAACATGGGTCCAATAAGATCAATTCTCCATATGGAGAATGTCCAAGGGCTGGTCATGGTCGTCAGTTGGTAGGAAGAAGCTCGCGGTATGTTCTCGAACCGCTGGCATTTGTCACACTTTTTTACAAAGTTGAAGGTGTCTTCTTGGAGTAGGGGCCAATAATACCCTTGACGAATAACCTTGTTAGTGAGGGATCGCGCGACAATGTGGTTACCGTAGATCCCTTCATGTATCTCCCTCATGATATAGTCTACTTCCTCATCGGTTACACATCAGAGGAGAGGGACGCTAAACCCTCGCTTGTACAATTGATCTCCTCTAAGTGTGTAACGAGCAGCTCTAGTCTACATGGTTCTTGCCTCGATCTTATCATTGGGCAATGTCTCATCTCGGAGATAGTGAATAATTGGGGTTATCCAGGAAATTGATTATGCTATATTCATGGCTTGTTCGGGTGAGAGAATACTAGGGATCTCAATGAACCGAACATGAATACTTTATGGTGCATCTGAGTCCAGCGACGAGGCTATTTTTGCCAAGGCATCCACGACAGAATTACTGTCTCTAGGAATCCGCGTGATTGTGAAGTGCTTGAATGGCTCGAGCGCGATCTTAGCTTTCTTCAGATAACTGATCATATTTTCTTCCTTGGCTTGAGATTCCCCCAAGATCTAGTTAACAACTAGCATGGAGTTGCTATGAATGCTGATCGCGGTCGACCCCATGTCTCTTACCAACCTTAGACCAGCGAGTAATGCTTCGTACTCGGCTTCATTGTTGGTCGCTTTGAACCCAAATCGAAGAATACCGTGGATGCAAGTCCTATCGGGACTAAGGAGGAGAAGGCCTACCCCGTCCATTTTCCTGTTCGAGGATCCATCGACATAAAGGCTCCAGGTTGATAGATTCTGAATGGTTTCTTAGGTGACTTCGTTGGCATGTTGCTCGAATTCCTTAAGCGGTTGATATGAAAACTTCGAAATGAAATCGGCAACAACCTGCCCTTTAATGGTTGCGTTCGGTTTGTAATACAGATCAAAATAACTTAATTTCATCGCCTACTTGAGCAACTTGCCTGAAGACTCTGGCTTCTGGCAGACTTGCTTGAGCGGGTAGTTGGTCAATACACGGATTGTGTGGGTGTGGAAACAAGGTTGCAACTTTCTGGAGGTGATTAGTAAGGCGAAAGCTAATCGCTCCATTTTCGGATATCACATTTCAGTATCCAGCAGACGTCTGCTCGCATGATATACCAGCCATTGGACCTTACCTTCTTCCAGAATTACAGCTACACTGACCACATGTTGAGAGACGGATAGATACAGAAGAAGAATTTCCTGAAGGAGTGGTTTGGACAGAAGATGTGGCTTTCCAAGGGCTCTTTAATGCCCTGAAAAGCTTGTTCGCATGCGGGAGTCCATTTGAACTTCTTGTTGGCCCTGAGTATATGAAAAAAGGGCAAGTAGCAATCTGTTGCCCTTGATATGAAGCGACTAAGAGCCGCTATTCGCCTATTAAGACTCTGAACCTGTTTTCGGTTGGTCGGATTTCTCATATCAAAAAGAGCTTGGATCTTTTTGAGGTTGATTTTTGTTCCCCTCTGGTTAACCATATACCCCAGGAATTTTCCTAAGGATACCCCGAACAAACACTTGAGAGGGTTGAGCTTCATTCTGTATCTTCGGAGTATACCAAACATCTCAGCAAAGTGCACTATGTGATCTAAAGCGACATGCGATTTGACCAGCATGTCATCAACATAGACTTCTATTGATTTTTTGATCTACTTGGAAAACATTCGGTTAACCAGTCGCTGGTAAGTCGTCCCAGCATTCTTTAAGTCGAAGGGCATAACCTTATAGCAATACAGCCCCCGATCCATAACAAAGAAGGTATGTTCTTCGTTTGACACGTACATCGGGATATGATTATATCCCGAGTAGGCGTCCATAAAACTCAGTAGCTCGTGCCTGGAGGTGGCATCAACAAGTTGGTCAATTCTTAGCAAAGAAAAGATGTCCTTCGGACAGACTTTGTTGAGGTGGGTGAAGTCAACGCAGGTCCGCCATTTGCCGTTAGACTTCTTTACTAAGACCAGGTTGGTAATCCAACTCAGGTAGAGTGCCTCTCGGATGGATCTGTTTAAGAGAAGATTATCTACCTCAACTTTCAAAGCAGCATATCGCTCATGATCCATTGCTCTTCTCTTTTGGCAAACTGGCTTGACCTCAACATCTATATTTAGGGCATGGCATATAATATTCGGGCTAATCCCGACCATGTCAGCATGAGTCCATGCGAATACGTCGGTATTTTCCCTAAGGAAGCTAATAAGGTCGTCGACGAGCTAGGGGTTGAGATTACTTCTGA